TATCAAATATATTTTAATAATATGCACACTACCCCCATCCAATCACCAAAATGTATAGGTTCACCTGAACCGTACACCACCTATACACCAGTAAGGCTTAACTTGTGCACAAAGCAGAGGAGCCTAGGAAAACTGTAAGGTTTATCTTTGCACACAACAAATGGACCTGGGAAACTGTAAGGCTTACCCTTGCACACAGCAAAGGGACCTGGTAAACTGTAAGGCTTACCTTCGCACACAGCAAAGGGACTTGGGAAACTGTAAGGCTTACCTTAGCACACAGCAAAAGGGACCTGATAATACTTCCTTCAATCGTACCCCCAATGACAAAAATAAACATGTATGCATTGGAGTAAAAACGGTAATTAATCCATTAAATATGGAAATGTTCCATATTTAGAAATTATGTACAAAAATACTATAACTATAAACCATATAAAAATTATACGGTAAATCAGACATTTAATAAACATTATTCAAAATATCGGATATTTCCTCATAAAATATATTATATTCTCATAATATAAACCAGTTCAGATATATAGTTTAAAACTGTAAGATAACACTGTCAGGAAACACACCTGTAACAGTCTGAGAAATCAGATAGGGAAGCTTATTACTGGTTTTGTCGATCACGCTCCGCTGCAGCGCTAGATCCTACGAATTGAAAAAATCCATATTGGAAACCTAATATAAATAATCTAAATATTATTTAAATAATATACGGACAACACCAGACCTAAATGATCCTTGCTCAGGTGAAACACGAGTACCTTCATAAAATATTTTTATTGAATCAATTCCTTAACCAAATCTCAAATAAATAATCAAAATATTGAAATATTAAGCCTTTTGGGTTTACAAGCTCGATTCAGGAATTTCGGGTCAGAATTTGACAAAACGGACTTCAGAATCTGACAAAACGGACTTCAGAATCAGATTCAAGACGTCGAAAAACATAAAGTATGACCTTCCAAAATTCTGAATTATTGGTCGAAATCAAAGTCAACGGGTTTGACTGACGATTCGGAGACTTTCGGGTTTGAATTTTGTGAAACCGACCACAAAAACAGATTCGAAGCGTCGAAAAATGTCAGAATATGTATTCTAAAAAAAGATTAACGGTTGTTTAATGGCCTGTCAAAGTTCTGGTCAATAAACCATTTTACAGAAATAGCACCCTTTTTAAAATAATTACCAAAATAGCACTTTTTCGAATTAAATTCCTAAAATAGCAGCTTTTTTGAATTAAATTCCCAAAATAGCACTTTTCGAATTAAATTCTCAAAATATCACCCTTTTCGAATTAATTCCCAAAATAGTACCAAGTTCAAATTAATTCCCAAAATAGCACCATTTCGAATTAATTCCCAAAATAGCACCTATTTCGAATTAATTCTCAAAATGTCACTCGGTCAACGGTCAACGGTCGAGTAGGGTCAAAGGGTTGGGTCAACGGGTCGGGTCAAAACCGATCAAACCGGTCAACCCTTGAATATAACCGATCAAATCGGTCATTTTGGGCTTCCCCACGCACAATGGCGGCGCGTGGGATCGTTTCTGACGACGTAAAATTCACAGAAAAATTTCTAAAAATTATTTTGAGCGATTTCGAGATACTTACAAAGATCGGTTCAAATTTTTGAACGGCTGAGAGCTCGATTTCATCAAATCGAAAACTTTGACCGCTTCTTCTCCCCATGCGCCGCCGTCGACGGAGACCGAGGATGACACCGGCGGACTCGGAACGGCACATGGAACACGATGGTGCGGGAGGTGTCGTAAACGGAGCAACGATCGGCGATGAATTTAAGATTTTCTCGGCGATTGAGCTAAAACGAACGTCGAGACTTTGACTGGAGATTCCCGGCGTTTGGCATCGTTTCACCTTAATTAATTTAAGGGAATTGTTCCTCACTCGATAACGAACACGATGGTGGTTTTAAAACGACGATCGGAATTCAGACGGCGTCAGGATCGTAGTCGGAAGTTGAGGTTGGGGAAGGGAGCTTTGGGAAGTGGTTTTCTATTTTCAAAACAGAAAACCACGTATATATAAACCAATATGACCAACTTTTTTGGGTAAATTCAGGGCTTGGTCTCTGAATTTTCTTTAACTCTAAAATAAGCTACAAGTTTTAAAACTTCTAATTTAGTCCTCAAAATTTACCAATTTTCACAATTAAAACCTCAAATTTTAATTAAATATTATTTTAAAATTTTCGGGTTGTTACAAAACTAGTCTTGAAGTTTTTAAGATAGGGGTAACAACCTTAACCCGTATCTCGATATCACATACACTTATATAAAACACATAGAGTACGTTTTCCTAGGCATGCCTTTCATATCTAAAGGTCCTATTAAGAACAAATAACCAATTAATCTAAGTTCACCAAGAGTGGTTATCAAATGATGCATAACTTATGACATATACATATTCAAACACATTTTGAAACATTTATTGAAAATAGTTGTCATGGTCAACCTTATATGGACATCAAGTTGTTCACCTATCCATGAGTAGTGAAGTTGTTCCACTCATCCTTAACACATTCATATATATAAACTTTCAAAACTACTATGCATCACTTGTAACACATATTCAATGCACATGTCAAAGTTCCATTTCATGTTACATTCCTATTAATTGCACATTTCCAACTTACATTTCATGAACCACATTATTCCAATGCACCATAATTCATAACCATCATGTCATGTCATATATATACACTAACAATGATCACATACTTTCATTACATCTTAACTAATATTCAACATGCTTTAATACTCATGCTTGCAAATATCACTTGCTTCTAATACATCACAAATCATAATTAACACATCACTATTCACAAGATTATCTCAATTAAATTCTTTCAATATATTCTTAACTCATAATCAACATACTTTTATACACATGCTCATAATGATAATTCACTTCCAATGTTCCATAAATTAGGTCATAAGATATATGTTCACTTTGATCACATACTTTTATATACACATCATTAATCTATATAATCAATTACCAAAAACAGGTATACCTACTTTAGAACCTAAGATTCAGAGTTCTCACATAACTAAACCTTCATTCAATATTGAACACATTCAACACAAGTGAATGAACAACCACTCACCTCAATGGCCCAACCACATGATTTAACCCAAAATGCTAACCAAATGACTACCAACAATCGATGCACCATTTTTACTCAATAATACAAATCATAGGCACCTTATAAAGCAATTCAACATTTCATAAAAACATTTAAAATAGAGCAAAAAATTTTGCTTTTAAAACATAATGAAAATCAACCAAGAGATTGAAAACCTTACTGTTAATGTGATCTTAGCCTCCTAACTCAACAGCACATGATCAATAACACTCTTAATAAGCACCTAAACATAATAAAATCCCACAAAACAACAAAAATCATCACAACTCCCGGATTTCCAAAAACCACCAAAATCAAGCTCGTTTCAAAGAAATCTATATCTAAATCATTATCAATTGAAAATTTGATTTAGTATGGTTATAATCATCCCAAATACATCTTAATTATATCAATAAAACCTCATAAACACCTCAATAAAATTAGCTCATTAATTATCTCCAAAAATCACTTTTATTTTCTAAAACTCATTTTCAAAAGCAATGATCATTCAAGATCATCATCAAAGTGGATCTTTAATCATTGAAGCACAAAAAGGAACAAATATTAAGAAGTTACCTTGCGGAAAATGGTGAAAGAAAGATGAAGAAGACAAATGAAATGAAGAAGAAGAACAAGCAATGTAAACACCAAATGGAGAAGTGGATGGGTGGCAATGGTAAAGAAATGAAGGAAATAGAATTTATGAAGGAAATCAAGAAAGAATAAGCAAAAACCAGCAAGCAATTGGATAGAAATGAAGAAGGGAGAATTCGGCCATGGGAGAGGAAATTGAGAGAATTTTTCTTATTATTTGGATGAAGAGAATGAAAAGAAATGAGAAAGTAGTTACAAATGAGAAATTAGAAATAGATTATGAGAATGAATCTAGCTAAGAATTAAGGCAAAGGGAGAATGAAACTTACAGTTGAAAATGGAGGGAAAGATGAAAAAATATAAGTCTTGGTAAAACTAGCTTCATAGATTCTGATATTTGATCCTTTTATAATTTAATCACTAAAATCCATATTTGCAATTTATTTAATTTAGATTTGAATTTCCAGGGAAGGAGATTATCGTTCTTACCTTCACGAAATTGTGCTAGAAATGTGGAGCAGTAAAGATTTCACCTTTGATGTATTTGTAACAAAGAAAAGAAGGAAATGATGAAGAGAAAGAAGAAAAGGAAGAGCTATTCTCTTCCCACGCATGACATAGGCACAATTAAGGGTTGCCAACTTTTGTTTCAAACTATGGGTAAATTATTCCCTTGATCCTTCTAAGTTTGATTCAAATTCAAAAACTTCTTTTTTAACATATTGTGGGTTTAATTTCACGTCCAATCCAACCCACACTTAATCCAAATGTCTCTCAATGATCTTCCATAGCACTCTAAACCCAAGAGACTTACCTGAAACCACTAACCCGAGTTTTAGATGTTACACAAGCCTTAGCAAGCTAGCTTCTTAGTTTCTCCTTTAATGCGGACAACATGCGTGTGTGAACATAGTGAAATAAACACTAAATGAACAATGCAGATTTTAAATAACATAAATGATCCTACAAGCTTCCTTCAATAAAATTAAGAGTTAATAGAAAATATTATTAAATTGTTAAACTATAAGATAAAATAAATGCAAAATTTACAAATGATACTACAAACGAAACAAATTTATACATATATCTTGGAATACCTGACTTTCTTCTAATATTTTTCTTAAAAAGAATAAAAAACATTATAATGTACCATGCATTGTACGTAATAATTTATTTGTCAATTATATTTTACAAAATTAAAATCATATGTCATTTTTATAGAAAGTTTTCGTGTCATAAAAATTCAAAATGTGTAAGAAAACAATTATCCTTACACAAAAGGTAAGTTCATAAAGATGCTAACAATATACCAAACTACATAGTTTATATCAATTTTTTATATTTATATACATATATTTTTACATAATTACCATATATGAATGGTTAACTTAAAAAGGCTTTTCTTATTAATATTATACTAATCATAGAGCATTTAACCACGATATAAACTCATACCTATAGGCTATAGAACAAGGATTATAGAAGTCGTCTCAAAAGAAATTCAAGGTTTTTAATTTGATTATTAGTTTCATATTTTGTTGTTTTTTATTTCGTTTTTTAGATACATGAAAGACGTTTAATGTAACTTTTTTCCTTGCAGGTTGTGTATTTCTCAAGGAATATAACTATGTCTTCAAAGTATGAAACTTGTGCAACTCCTAATGACCAATTATTGAACGCTGATACTGAGAAAAGCTCGACGTTGTCCTTATTGTCCAATCAACCTCATAGAGCCTTATTGCACAAAAGATCAGCAAGTGATTCCATTGCCTTTGTGAAAAAGTCTCATTGGGCAGGGACAAGCTCCAACATTGATGTACAAGGGTGCTTGGAAATCAATGGAAGTGATGCTGATGGAAAGGGAAATGGAACAATGGGGGATTCATCATCGGCTTCATCTCCCATAGCTGAGACTCACTATCCAACTCAATATGGAAAGTGGGGTCCGAACTTTTGCCCTGACATGGACCCCAAGAAGATCAAACGGTGCATTTGCCTTTCTCTTATAAAAAAATATATCACATTTAATGTTTTATATAATTTAATGATTTTTCTAATATATTGTTTTATCTTATAGACTGCTTGCAAATAGAGTTTCAGCTCAGAAATCTAGGTTGAAGAAGGCAGAATACATTGAAAATCTTAAAAAAGATATAGCTATGAAAGAGGTGGTTAAATTCCCTTTATCATTATTTACTATTTATATTTTCTTCTTATTTAATCTAAATATAAAGAATTTTTTGTATTTGGGTTTGAGATTTTTAGGCAAAAGTGGCGGTCCTAGCTCCTGCAGTTTCTTTCTATGAAAAACAACGCATGATGTTGGAAAAAGAAAACAATGCAATGAAACAAAGGATGAAAATTCTTGAGAAGGAAAAGACATCGAAAGATGGTGAAGTATTCTTGCTCAATGGATCCTTTTATAATATATATATATATATATATATTCTTCTTAAAAAATTGATTTGAAGAAAAAGAAACTAGCAATTGAGTAACTAAGACTACTTTTTGGTTTGCAGCTGAATATCAAGCACTGAAAAATGAGCGAGATGTGCTCGCATTAACTTATTTCCTGATGCAAGAAGGCATTTAGAATAATAAAGTTATGTATTTGGATTTCAAGATCCAATGGTTGAAATAAATATCTCTTAGGTCCCTGACCTGTTAGATCAATATTAAGAGATTTCTAGTTTCTTCTTTATTTTCAGAGAGTAGTTTCATCACAGTATCTTGAGATTTCAAAATGTTTTCGAATAATAATTAATCAAGCAAGCTCTTGAATCATTAAAATTTCTATTTAAGTGATCATCAGATCTATGAATGAATGAAGGTTCATGCTCTATATGTATGTGTATTCATTTAACTTAATTTTATCTCAAATGGATTAATATATGAATCATTTTGGGTAACATATTTGAGAAACAAGCATGCATTGTACAAACCCTCTTACCCCAATTCTATTTCTCAATGAGTCATTACAGTTTGCTTGTTTGTCAATAGATATGTTGTTATAAGATTTGATAAACTAGAACATAGCCCAACATTAACAGACTTAAAGAAAATTTAAAATTCACGATGCTCTAAGCATAATCTTATCCAACTATTAGCTAGAGAATTAAGTCATTAGGAATAACATATGATTATTGAGACCCAACAATCTTACAGGAAAAAATGAGTAATCTAAGTTGCATAATTAATAAATAAGGAAATAATTAAATCAAAAAAGCAAATACACGTGTATGATCATATATGCAATCAATGATCATGCACTGAATAGTCTTTTTGGATCACTCAAATGTTTTTCGTACACTACCTTGCCTTTTGTAGTGTTAATTTAGGTAACGCCTTGAATATCAGACTAATAGTTTTAGATAACCTGTTTGAGCATAGAAAGAATATAGTGGGCCTTCTTGAAGATTTGGCTCAGGGCTTGATTGGACTAGATTTTAAGTCCATGGTGATATAAAAATGACATTTTTGAATTAGGAGCAAATAAGAACGAACCTAGGAAGTAATTAGCCCATTGTTTGAAAATAAGGCTAATCCCCATTTAATTTTAGTGAGGTCACATGTTGGGAAGGGCTTTCAACTTGTCTTCTTCTTCATTTCTTTCTTTCTTTCCTCTTCATCTCCAAGGTTGTCAAAGGTGTTGAAAACATTTTGATCTTTCGATATAACAAATAAAGTGTTAATTAATTTTAAGATTTTATATTCGAATATTTAAAATATTTCTCCAAGTTTTCAAATATCAATTTTTACTCCTTACTTGAATGAAAAATTGTGTTTCACTCTTAAAATATTTTTGGAACAAATTTTACAAAGTATTTCGAACCATAATCGAGTCAAAATTAAGTTTTAAATAGGGTAGTACCGATACCTTCTTAACGAGTATCGATGCCCCTTAAACATCGAATGCAAAAGAGGTATTGATACCCTATTGGGTACCGATACCCCTTTGTATAGTAGTACCGATACCCTGATTATGGGTACCGATACCCCTTCTTTGATTTTGACTCCGAGAAATAACAGAATGCAAAATGGGTACCGATACCATGACTGGTACCGATACCTCTTTACATAGTAGTATTGATACCCCCTTGAGAGGTACCGATACCATCAGTTTTGCAATGGTCAAAATATTTGAATTTTATATAGGTAGTATCAATACTCCTATGAAGAAGTACCGATACCCATACGCTCCTAGCAGCTTTTTCAAGTGGATTTCACACCACAACGGTTCTATTGACTCCAATATAATTCCCAACGTTTAGAATTCATTGGAGGTGTATTTAAACAAGTCTTGAAGCCATTGATGAAAAACAAGAAACAAGTTTTGAGAAATAATTCAAAGAGAGAAAGCCTTAAACTTATTGTTTGAGCAATTCAAGCCAAAATCATTTCAATATTCATTTTGCTTTCAAGAACAGACTTTGTGTTCAATTGTATTTATCTTTGAGTATTATTTCTTTGTTATAGAATTGTGCAAACATCTTACCTTGTGAGGTTTTTCTGTAAGTTTGCAAAGTTTGTATTTTTCTCTTTGAGAAGAGAGTGTCTCAAGAATTTGGGGTATAATTCTTGAGGGAGTTGCAAGGTTAATCTTTATCCTCAAAAGAAAGACAAATTAGTAAATTTGTGGAAAATCCTTAGTGTGGATAGCTAAGGTGGTGGAAGTAGATTGTATTTTTCTCTTTGAGAAGAGAGTGTCTCAAGAATTTGGGGTATAATTCTTGAGGGAGTTGCAAGGTTAATCTTTATCCTCAAAAGAAAGACAAATTAGTAAATTTGTGGAAAATCCTTAGTGTGGATAGCTAAGGTGGTGGAAGTAGACTTTGGTTGAGAAAGTCAAACCACTCTAAATCGCTACGCAAATATTTTTATTTTCTGTCAAAGCTTCCACAAAAATTTTAATTGGCAATTCACCCCCTATTGGTTATTTCATCCGATCGATTACTCAACAATTGGTATCAGAGCTTGTCTCATTTGAAGGTTTTACCACCTCTTGAGAAGATCCGGGAAGAGTTTAATCGATATTCAAGTCATCAATGGCCTCTACATCAAACTTCGACTTCGTTCTTGATTCTCAGCCCGCCAATAAGCCTTCTTTCTTCAATGGAGCTAACTATGCCTATTGGAAGAATAGGATGAAGTTCTTCATTAAAGCTAGTGACATGGGAGAATGGAAAATCATGATGAGAGGATACTCTGAACCATCCACAGAACCAGAAAGCGGAGTAAAGAAGAGACAAGATTATTCCAGCTTAACTCAAAGGCAATCCATATTTTATTTTGTGAACTTGGACCAGATGAACACGGGAGAATTTCATCTTGTTCAACCGCCAATGAGATATGGGACAAACTTCAAGTCATTCATGAAGGAATCGACGAGGTAAAAGAAACCAAAATTAGTCTTCTTACTTATAGCTATGAAAATTTCAGGATGAAACCAGATGAAGACATCAAAGCTATGACAGATAGATTCTCCGTAATTGTCAATGGTATCAAGGCATTCGGAGAAATAATCCCAAACGAAAAACTTGTGAGAAAGATAATTTATTCTCTTCCAAAAGCTTGGCAATCAAAGAAGACTACGATTATCGAAGCTAAAGACCTAAAGTCTTTAACTCTTGATGAGCTCATTAGTTTACTCCTCACTCACAAAATGATGATTCAAGATGAGGTAGATCATGAAAAGAAAGAACAAACAAGGAGATGGAGAAAAAGAAGAACGTTGGTGTTGCTCTCAAATCTACCAAAGATGAGAGTGACTCTGATGATGACGATGATGAAGAAATGGCATTATTTGCCAAATGATTCAGAAAATTAATTAAGCCCAATAGAGGAAGAAAATTGTAACATCCCAAAAAGAGGATTAGTGACCAATATATGGGTCGGGTACGGGTTGGGGTGTTATAAAAATTCAAACGAAATGAAGGCTTCAAAAATGAATCAAAAGAGAAGGACCCAATCATATGCCATGAATGCAAAAAGCCTGGGCATATGAAATATGATTGCCCACAATTGAAGAAGAATGGTCTTTCAAAGAAGAAGCACAAGGCACACGTAGCTACTTGGAGCGATGATGAAACATTAGATGAAGAGGAACAAGAAGTAGTTAACTTGTGCTTGATGGCCACTAAGGAGGATTCTCAGGTAACCTCTAACTTATTTGATTTAGAAGATTATTCTTTTGATGAGTTATTAGAGGAATATAATGGGTTGACTTTGGATTATGAGAAATTATTTACAAAATATAAGAAAGATTTTTCAAATTTGAAAAACAAAAAATATCTCATATCCAAGATCAATAGCGAACTCGAAAGTAAGGTTGAAGAGCTGCAAATCAAAATAAAAGATTTTGAAAAACAAAATTTTGATTTGCAAAACTTACTTTCAAGAGTTAATGACGACCATTAAAAGAAAATTGATGATCTTAAAGCTTCTTTTGATAAAGTTGGATCAAAACGTTTTGAAAAATGAGAAAATTCAAAATCTAACTGTATTAGAAAGAATTTTAAATCTTACAATCATAGAGGTCCCCAAAGAACCTCTAATGGTAAAATCATTAGGAGTAAATGGGTTCCTAAAGGACTCAATACTACTAAAGATAATGATATCCTAAATAAATGGATACCCAAAGGGACTAATGAATATAGACCCAAAAGAATTTGGGTACCAAAAATAAAAAAATTAATCTATGTTTGTAGGAAAAGGAGCATTGCTTCAAGGCACGAAATTCAAGCTCAAATTCATGATACCTTGATAGTGGATGCTCGAGACACATGACCGGAGATAAGAGCCAGTTTACTGAGCATAACGACAAAAATGGAGGAGTTGTAACCTTTGGTGATGACTCAAAAGGTTACATTGAAGGTATATGTACTATAGGTAATACCTCTTCCATACAAATATAAAATGTATTATATGTGAATGAGTTAAAGCATAATCTATTAAGTATTAGCCAATTGTGTGACAAAGGATACAATTTCTTGTTTGAAACAAACGGTTGTAAAGTTGTTGACATTGCATCTAATAGGATTATGCTTATTGGTCATAGAATAGTAAACATATACATGGTGCATTTAGATTCTATAAATATGACTGATTTATGCCTAGTTGCCAAGGATGAGCATGATAGTTGGTTATGACATAAGAGACTAGGACATACAAGCATGAGTGTTTTGCAAAGGCTAATTCAAGGCGATTTAGTAAGAGGGCTGTCAATCTAAAATTTATTAAAGATAAAATTTGTGATGCATATGTAAAATGAAAACATAAGAAAGT